AACAGCAGCTCAGTCTGCTCAACACCACTCTGGGGCTTGGAACTCATTCCTGCCTGATAGTGGCAACAGACTCCCCAAGCCTTAGTCCTCCTCCAACCTTGCACCAGCCCTGCCCTGGCCTCCTAAGTCTGGCTCCAACCACTAGGCCTGACCATCCCCAAGACAATTTGACACCTCCCTCTTTTTTTTTTTTTCTTACTGGTTGCAAAGCACTCTACACCTCTATGGCAGTCTTCCAAAACAGTCATGAAAATTTGCTAGCCCAGGCACAAAATCAAATTGCTCACCCGTGCCTAGTGAAAATACAAATGATATTTCACTTATCCATCAAATAATTTATTTACCCCAGGTGTGTGGACAAGAACTTTGGAAGACTGATATTGATGATGATCCTTTTTGTTTGGGATGGCTGTGTAGATGTAAGTGGTTTATAAGACATACAAATTATTGGGGCCCAAACAACCTCAGATGTTTGCCCCAAGACTTCAAATACCAGACTCCTATATAAATCCTGCTAAAATCAACTACGTATAGCACAGAAGCATTCTTGCATTTAGCCTTTGGTCTTCTTTTGGTCATTTATCCTTCCCTAGTGTTTGTGGTATGATAACAGATGGAGAGAGAATACACTGAGAAACATTGCTTATTGCATGAAGCATCCTACGTTGAGTTTATGATGGAGCACGTTCTCTGGAGTTAAAAGAATGCTCACTTGATTTATGCAAACTATTCACCCCCAGGTTGTTGGCTTGTATGGGGTTTGTTAAAGAGAGACCTGGAAGAGCTACATAGACCCTTTTGTAAGTGTCCCACTAAGAATGGAGGAGTAGATATTCTCAGTATGGGCTTGGGGAGACGTGCCCATTCAGCACTGTGCTACTGTCTCTCTCCAAGGTCCTGAAAAGAGAAACAAGCCGGTCTTCAGAGACTAGATTGATGGAGCTGTGGGTTTTTTCCACCTGAGGTTTGGCGAGGTTAATTCAAATTGTGAACATCAGTCAGGCCTACTCACTACTGTATCACTTAGCTATTTTAAGAGGGTGCTGGTTCTTGGAGGTATTTACCCAATGCTGCCTCAATTTCCAAATATAAAGCAGCTAAAATAGAGATGGGTAGGAAAGAAAATAGCTTTTAAGGCTATTTTTTTCAGTAGCCATTTTTAGGCCTGAGATTGGCAACAATTAATTTGATATTTTATTAATTTCCCCAACCCCACCTCTTAGTAACCATTGTTTTAGCAACTAGAAAGAGTCTGCTTCAAAACACAAAGCTTTTCCTGCTAGTTGGTGTGTGTGTGTGTGTTTGGTTTTAAAGGATTTATGTGGCAGTACTTTATTTTCTATTTGAATTGTGTTTTCATAATTTCTTTCCCTTCTCCCCTCCCCCCCACACATAGTTCGGCTTGGGAGAAATTGTTTAACATTTTAACCAAGCTGTAGTGAGGTTTCAATTCAGTAATGAACTCAATGGGACAATTCACTTGCTTCAAGTTGTGCCTACAGTAAGGTTCCTTGATGAATCAGGGCCTATGCCTTCAAAAGATTTCTGATCAGCAGCTCCATAAACAGCAGATCGGATTCACTTCTGCATTAATCCAGTTTTATGGTGGTATAATTCCAGTGAAGTGACACTGTCGTAAAACTGGAGTAACCCAGCGGTAAATCAGGCCCAGTATCAGAATTTGACATAAAGCAAACAGTAAATCAGTCATTTGAAGCCTGTTTATGAATGGGCGTAAGTAGGAGTCCAGGCTAGAGGGGAGGAAGGGTTTGGATTCAGGGGAGTTGGGGTGTGATATCTTTGCAAAATATGGTTTGTGTGGGAGTTATATCTATGGGACTGTGCATGGGATATGCATGGAAGTGAGTGTATCTATATGCAGCAGGTGTGTGAGCGTGTAACTGTCAGTGTGATATGGAGAAGCGTGTGTTTGCAATGCACATGGTGGGGGCACATGTTACATGTATGTGGTTTTGTGTTTGTGGGACGTAATTATGTGGTCTGAGTGAATGTGTCAGGGAGACTGAGCATCTGTATGGGGCTGAGGTATGTGTGGCAAGACTGAGCATGTGCCTGGTGATGAGTGTGTCTGTGGGAGGTGTGAGAGTCTGCGATCTGCATACGGGGGATGTGTGTGAGAGACAGGTGTGAGTACAATGTGTGTGTTGGGTGGGGGGAAGACACACAGGTTTGTGAGCAGGACAGGAAGAGTGGCTGGTGGAAACAAAACTGAATTCTTTGCATGCCATATCCTAACTCCAAGCTAAATGCACAATACACTTGTGCATTATTCCATGCAAAATACAGTTTCCCCAAGTCAGCACTGGCAGGGGTTGCTGGAGTTCTGAGACTTTTGCTGATGCTTTGCTGCTTTTCTATCTACTGTTCAAGAAGAAGTAAAATTTTGAGTCAAAACCCCTCATTCACTAGCATCCTGCTTTTCAACCTGCTTCCCATTTGGTGACCCCCTCATTTAGCACCAGTTGATTTTACCATACAATGCAAGGGACTGATGTTTAGCATTGGTGGCAAGCAACAGATGATGGGACTATGATTGCAATACACCTGAAAGTGACTAAACTAATAATTTGGCTAGATTAATGAGATGCACATAATTTCCAATAGCTGCCTCTTTCTTATGATGTCCAGCCAATTATTCTTTCAATATAATAACCACACACATCTGGACCCAATTATCCAAATGCATAATGATCATTTAGATTTAGCGCCAGGAAGCCGGGAGATGCCCAGATCTGGCCTTTTTGCCCAGACAGAGTGGCGACATCCATTCAGGAAGGGACCATGGCTGCTTGGTACCCAGGGATCCTGGAGCAGAGTTCACCTACGTGTGATTTCTATTGGGTTCAGTCATCCCAAGGTGAGCATCAGAATGAGATGTTATGATAAGCTGTGCTTTGAAAAGCAGAACCAGGTCACACTGGAATATACATTTTGTGCTTTGTATTTTCTCTTGGTAATTACAGGCCTAACCATAGGTACCACTTTATGTAGTTATCTATCACATCCTTTTCCCTACCCTTATAACTGAAATAACTTTGCTACAGATGCCATCCTTTTTTTTTTTTCTTCCCCCTAGCAATTTTCTTAACCCTTCCTAAAATAAGATTTTTTTTTTAATCCCAAGCACAGACTAGATGGGGATGAAAGCTTCGTTTCTGGTAGGTTCTTGAGAACTATGAATTGCTCATAGTCTGCCCCCAATTTGGGTCTGGTGCCCTCACTTCTCAAAGAACTGTTCTGCTGCAATTAGTCACAGGCATGCATTGCTGGTGACTACGTGTACGTATGCATGCATGCACACTCTGCCAGTCTGATGACATGTAGTTCACGGAGCCGCGTAGTTTGAGACTTTTACAGCCTGACTTCTGTCTGTCTCTACTGAAAATGTTGTTTATCAGGGCCTAGATGTCACGAGGGGCATAGAAAGGCAGTACTATGGTCAGGCGCATACAGGATCTGGACAGATTCTGTCCTAGCATTTCAAGTGCATAAGAAAAAAAATCATTATTCCCCAAACCTAGATTACCTCTGCACAGAAGATTGTCAGTATTTAAAGATTGCTTCACAACACAAACCAATAGGGTGACCAGATGTCCTGATTTTATAGGGACAGTCCCAATTTTTGGGTCTTTTTCTTATATAGACTCCTATTACCCCCATCCCCCACCCCCGTCCCAATTTTTCACACTTGCTGTCTGGTCACCCTACAAACCAAACAGATTTAAAATGGGCTCCTGATTCTTTCCAAGCTATGTGAAGCAGAAGGCTGCAATTGTGTTTTCTTTTGGGGAAAACCCTAACAGTGCAAAATTTTACTTTTTAAATAGATCATTCCATTTCTTTTTGGAAAAACTAAAAGCTCTTTTCAGGTAACATTTAATGTTGCCTTCTTATCTCATCACAAAGCAGTGAGCTCTGTTTTCCAGAGACATGTCTTACAAGAAGAGCTTTTTCCCCGCTTCCAGGAAGACCGAAAATTGCAATGTTTATGAGACCTATCTCAGTCTAAGAGTTCTGGAAAAGAACACCATTGGAAAGCCCAGTTTTGATAGACACACACCCAACAAAAACAGGCCAGCCTCATTAATTCCATTGGCTTCTAACAGATAGGCCTGATTCTTTTTATGGCGGCAGTTAGATTAGATGGAATGATACAGCCACTTGCAGCAGAAATGCAGCTGTTCGGCCTTAAAGCCTGTTAGTCTGACAATTTTTGATCACCCTCACTGAGTTTTCTTGTTTTTATTTAATCCTCATTTCCCTTCAACATTTTATTAAACCATGTTGGGAGAAGAGCTCTTTCTATCCCTCTGAGCCCCTACAAAATGCATTAAGCTGCAGTGAAATAGGAGCATAAGAATCCTGTTTGAATTAAAGTCTCTTGCCTGGTATTATCACGTGTAGGTTTGTGTTTGGAGGGGACAGGAAGGCGATACGTGGATGTAAAGATCTGACCCTTGCTGAGAGCATTTGCCATCTGTTTCTTATAGCTAGAATTTCAAATATCTGTACAAGATCTTGCAGCAGTGCAATGTCCATTCTACCCAGGGCTGCTTTGGAGGCTTGGTGGAGATCCTACAGGTTATGGTGGTGCAGTCATGACTCTGAATCCAACTTGGCCTGTCTCCTTTCAACTTGGCTACGCTGCCTCCTGCCTCAGATCTGTGTCCCTCTTCCTCCCATACCCTCCTCTGAAAAGCTTTGGTCATCTGTAGGGAGAAAACGCTTAGAGCCCCATTGAACATAGGGGGCAGCTTGTGTCAAACGGCTGGGATAATGCCATGCTGGGCTGGTTTCCTGTACCCTGTAGGAAATTGGTGTGATCATCACTCGCTCCCAACTAGCAGGCTGCAAACTCTGAAAGTTCAGCCCAAACAAAGGGTCCCTCTTATGGGGGAGGCAGGGGGAATTTCTTCTAACCTCTTATTTCCTTTTATCACAGCCTGATCCGTCTCAGAAGATATTAATGCATCACCTACCTCCATCTGAGTAGGTCTCTGTCCCGTAGCCGTCCTGTAATCCATTGCTCCAGGTGCCTTCGTATTTGGCCCCATTGCCACTGCATTCGCGGACCCCGTACCGTCCCTTAAATCCATGAGTCCACTCTCCTTTGTACACCCACTTCCCCTTGCTCTCCAAACCGATGCCATGGCGCTTGCCCTGTGCCCAGGTGCCCTGGTAAGTGTTGCCACTGGGCCAGGTGTAGACCCCCAGCACCTCAAAGCCGTGACTCCAGGAGCCTGTATACTCGCCTTGACCCTTCGGGCCGGTACAGATTCCATGGCCGTGAGCCTTTCCGTCCTCCCAGCCTCCACAGTAGGAGCCTCCATCGTCAAAATTAAACCTTCCCCCACTGGACATGCATGTAATTCGGTTTGCCAATCCCCAAAAAGGTGAAAAAAGAAAATGGCCAAAAAAAAAGAAATTGGATGATTATTGAATCAAATCTGAATCGTGCACCGGCTCCAGGGTGCTGCTTAAGTCAATTTCTTGGGGTTATTCATTCTCTAGGAGGATCCTCAGGATCAGTCCCTTCTTCTTCTGCTGTGGAAACAGTATCACACCAAAAAAAGGGAGGGGGAGAGGGCGTGGGGGGGGGAGAGCAGCAAGAAGAGCAGCAGCTATAGGGTTTTGGTGCAAACGACTCCACCTAAAAATCATCCAAGGCAGAGCCCAGGAAAGGGAAATAAAGGGGGGAGGGGGGGAGGAGAAGGGGGGGGCGAGGGAGACCAACTGCCAACAATTTTTTTTTTTTTGAAATAACCCCTGTCTCAACTCAGAAGCAATCAAGGGTCTCAGCCCCACAGCTGTGACCTCCACCTGGGGCTGCCCGCTGCTGAGACTGACTCGCACGCCCCAGCCCTGGCAGCAGCAGCATAGTGGAGACCCGTGGCTCAGCAGCAATGCAGTGTCTGTGTCTCCCCGTCTCTCGCTGACACACACACACACACACACACCCCTCACCCGAGAACACAACTGAGCGGCTCTGATTCCTCCCCCCAGCAAACCTCACTCCATTCGGCCTCCGCTCGGGGCTTGGAATAAGTCCCGCATCTTGGTGCAAAGATGCTCTCAGCCGTGTGAAGGATGGGGTGGAGGGGCGGAGGGAGAAGGATCTGGAGGGAGGGAGGGGGGGGCTCTTTTTTTTGTATCTCCAGGCGGGGGGGGGGGGGAAAGAGGGGTCCTCTTGCTTCCCCTTCGGTCCCCCCTTCCCTTCTTCCTGCCTTCCTAGTGGTTATAAATCTTGCTTATTAAGGAGAACAGATCCTAGGCGGGCTGCTCTCGGTTCCAGGCTCAGCCCGGATTTAAAGAGACAGGAACTGCGTAAGGTGGAGACTCCCAGAACAGAGCTCTCCCACCAGAGGCTTAACCCACTACCTCCTTGGACACAGCAGGCTTATCTCAGACAAAACAGGCCGCCGGGTTAGCCTGCAGCAGGGTGATTATTCATGGCAGGCTGGGATCTGTCAGCACAGAACCTAGAGGAAAAACAAACCCGGGCTTGTCTCCTTTATTTGTTTGTTTGTTTATTGCTGCCTCTACATTCCTCGCCCACCCTCCTCCCCAGATTTCATTGCTGGCTAGTCTGTGCTTCTGGACCCTGTTTAAAATAAAGGCGAGTCGATTTATCTTAATGTTATGGGGCCAAACATGCTGTTAACCCCCCCACTGCAAAGTCTTGGGGCAAAAACTGCCTTTTATACAGGGCCCAGCACACTGATGGTGCAAAAAGACATTATTCATTAGTTATTGGTTGTTGTTATTGTTTAATGCAGACACCAGAGTCTGAGCTGTATTAATAAACCATCTGCCCTTCTGTCCAATTCATATGAAAGTTGTCTCACTCCTAAACCCCATTTTACTTCATGACCATCCTTGCCCCACAAAAATGTGCAAGAGAGCAAAAAGCCGGCAACAAACACACACCAGGATCCTACAGGCACTCGTGGAATTCTTACAGGCTAGAAAACGATAAACATACTGTAGCTATTCAAGACCATGCTCAGTGGAGCTGTAGTCACAGCAGCAGTGAATTCAGACCACATAAGGCTCCAATCCTGAAAAAGCATGTGCTTAATTTAAGTACCTGAGTATTCCCACTGGAGAGATGTGCTTAAGTGTTGGCAGGATCAAGGTTTATATTTTCATGGATTAAAAGGGGGGCTTTGAATTTCAGAAAAAATATATATTTTTAATATCGTTCACATGAGCTGGAGCCTGGCAAAGCAGAATCTGGGAGGGGGGGCAGGGGGAGGAGATCATCCTCCTTCAGAAAATGTTTGCGATTTTGTTGACTCCCAGCCGCATGCTTGGGGAACTGCATAGTCTTTCCACTCCTGCATTATTTATTTATTTATTTATTTATTGTTAATAATTAGTGATGGACTCGAGGCAAGATGATGTTTGGATCTGGACTCAGATCTGAGGCCCCAGTTCAGCAAAAAATGTAAGCATCTGCTTAACTTTAAGGAAGTGCTTAAGTCCCATTCAAATCCGTAGGACTTAGGGGCACGTGCTCAAAGACAAGTAAATGCTTATGTGCTTTGCTGAACAGAGATGGATTGCTGAATTGAGACCTGAGTCTATATTTGCCCAAGCTTGGGGAGGTTTCAGATGTAGGATTCCCATTCGGGTCCATCTCTATTAGTAATTTTTCACCCTATCCAGTATAGTAATATATTTTAATGTGTATTACATTCTAGTCTGTAAGAATATATTTGGTAACCTTTAGCCTCTCATTCCTAATTATTATTCTAAGTTACTCCTTTGTATTAGAGTAGCATTTAGAGGCCCCAACTAAGATCAAGGCCGCATTGTGTTGGGCACTGTACAGACACACAGCAAGAGACAGTCCCGGCAGCGAAGAACTTGCAACCTAACTGGATAAAGGGTTGGAGAAAGAGATGCAACCAGTGCAGGTGGAACAGTTTCCATTGAAACAGTTTTTTGATGGAAAATGTTTGTTCAGCAAATCGAAAATTTTCACAAGAGAAATGCCTATTTTCATCAACACTCTGTGGGTTTCCATCAAAAACACAGAACCTGGAAAAAATTTCAGTTTTTGGCAACCAAAAGATCAAACTTTTTGTTTTATTTCCAACAAAAACCCCAAAACACTTCCAAGACCATTTTTGAGGAAAATGAAATTGGTTTAGACTTTGCCACAAATTTTCAAGGGGAAAAAGGGATCTCCCTGCCAGCTCCAGATACAATATAAAAGCAGAGTGATGCCTGGCACGCATCATATCACTTCCATTTTTCCCTCAGCCACTTTAAAGTATCTTCTGTGTATTTTCACATGTTAACCACCTACTTTTTAAATGTGAGCAACCATTATTCCATTCCAGCTGATTCTAATGAGTCCCATACTCTATAGAAATCACCTGCCAGGGTATGCTCATCTACACCAAAAGCCATGCATAGCACAATCACTGAATAAATTCACTCTAAACAACATGTACATAAGAACAGCCATACTGGGTGAGTCCATCTAGCCCAGTATCCTGTTTTCCGACAGTGACCAATGCCAGGTGCCCCAGAGGGAATGAACAGAACAGGTAATCATCAAGGGATCCATTCCCAGCTTCTGGCAAACAGAGGCTAGGGACACCATCCCTGCACATCCTGGCTAATAGCCATTGATGGACCAATCCTCCATGAACTTATCTAGTTCTTTTTTGAACCTGTTATAGTCTTGGTCTTCACAACATCCTCTGGCAAGAAGTTCCATAGGTTGACTGTGCATTGTATGAAAAAATACTTCCTTTTGTTTGTTTTTAAACCTGCTGCCTATTAATTTCATTTGGTGACCCCTAATTCTTGTGTTACGAGAAGGAGTAAATAACATTTCCTTATTTACTTTCTCCACACCAATCATGATTTTATAGACCTCTATCATATCCCCCCTTAGCGTCTCTTTTCTAAGCTGAAAAGTCCCAGTCTTATTAAACTCTTGTTATATGGCAGCCATTCCATATCCCTAATCATTTTTGTTGCCCTTTTCTGAACCTTTTCCAATTCAAATAGATTTTTTTCTGAGATGGGGCAACCACATCTGCACACAGTATTCAAGATGTGTGTGTACTATAGATTTATATAGAGGCAATATGCTATTTTCTGTCTTTTTATCTTTCCCTTTCTTAATGATTCCCAACATTCTGTTTGCTTTTTTGACTGCCGCTGCACATTGAGTGGATGTTTTCAGAGAACTATCCACAATGACTCCTAGATCTCTTTCTTCAGTGGTAACCTGTTAGGTTCACTCCCTCTGGGGCACCTGGCATTGGCCACTGTCGGTAGACAGGATACTGGCTGGATGGACTTTGGTCTGACCCAGTATGGCCGTTCTTATGTTCTAATTTAGACCCCCTCATTTTATATGTATAGTGGGGATTAAAAAACGTTTAATGAAACCTTGTTTAAAAAAATCAAGACGGAATTTCTTTTAAAAAGCAATCAGTAATCTATTAATACTGCAGTCAGACAAATTTAGGCCAAATAAATATTGCAGGGAGTTTATAGGTGCGAGGTTTAGTGATGGGGTTGTTTCTGTAGCTGGGCCATTCGGCATGCTTTCTGATTTTAAAACTGAATATTATTTTAGGTGCAGCACCCCAGTGACTTCAGTGCTAGGGGCAATTTCTACCTTCATTTATTTCCCTGTCATTCTCAATCTATAGTTGCAGAATATGAGGCCAATGGGAAGGGCATTGGGTAAACGTTTTATTTCTATATTTTGACATCATTGGTCATTGTTTTTACTTATTGGTACCGTTGGATGAGCAGCACATACTGCACAGTAGTTTCTTTTGGGGCGAGGCATCGTTAAAGAATGACGAATGCTCACTTCATGGCCATTTCTGCCACCCATCTGTTAGCACGTCGCTCTGTAGCTGGTGAAGATCAGTGACACATGTACACAATGAAACTTCTCTTGCTCATTAACTCCATGATGGATTTAGACTAAATGAAGTCCAGATCCAGTCCATGGAAAGCTTGCCCCCATGCAACTCCATGCCTCTTGCTAAATTGCTTGCAACACTCCTGACTCCCTATCCTATGCATGCTGTATCTGGCTCCCCCTCCTTTGACTTTATGGGTCTGAATGCCCCATCCCAGTACAAGGCCCTGATTTGTGGAGGCTTCCTTAAACCACCCCCAGCCTTATCCTGAAGCTAGCAGAAGGGCGGCAGAAAGCCCAGAAGGCAGTGTAACCGGGAGAGGCGGGGGGCGCTGGTTGGAAGGCAGGGGTTCCACCAATGAGGAGATGGCCTCTTTGCATATTTGTTGTGGAGCAGTGCTCTCTGGTGATTTTTCTTCACAGCTCCGCCCCAGGAGCTGGGGAGACGTGGCTGGTGTGG